ATAATTATCAATTATAATTATAATATAATTACAATCACAACATTTCACATTCTAAATGTAATTTACGTTTCCGGTAAAAAAATTAAAAAATAAAAAGCCTTTTTTTGTTATGAGCCCAAAAAAAGACCTGTTAATAACTTAGATTTGGGATACGGCTATGACTCTATATGGGCCGCCATGTTTATAGTAGACTTATATTTCAATGGGCCGAGCCCTAAGACTTTATAATTAGCCCAATTAGGAAGAGCAGGCCTAGATGGCCCGCCCCCAAAGAAAACGGCAGCCTTAACGACGAAGTAGAATTAATGCGGACTGCAGACCCAGAAGTCAACGGCCGGCAGCCGGTGACCTGACTTTTGAATTAAACCGGCGTCGTTTTATACAGAATCCACTAGAGGCGTCAACGTATCCCAAAAGACGGACTGAGTATTGCTAACGACGCAGGCCGTTGACCAAACGACAACTCCGATGCCGTCATTTGACTTTGCTCCTGGCGGAAGGCGGCACACGCGTTTCCCCGTTCCACCTAATAAAAGCAAGAGCACAATGGCCTTTTCTTCTTCAATTCTCAATTTTCCTTTTCCCATTGCCTTTGGCTTTTCTGTGTTGTCTTCTCCTGTAGGAAACCACCTCTTCCTCTTCCAATTTCTCCCTCTGTTCTGTTTCGAGTTGTTGAAGAGGGTTCTTTTTTTCGTAAACTGCAGCAGCTGGACTTTTTGCTGAGGAAGATGGTTCAAATAAAGGAGTTGTATCCTTTCATAACATATTTATTCTTTTTTTTTTTAGCTTTTTTTTTATCTTTATTTTTGTTTGATTCCATGTTTTGGGTTTTCCTTAATTTCTAACTAATCAATGTGGGGAATAATGTGAAGTCGAATTGTGATGCCCATTTCCTTGGAAGAGGTATGGTGATTCATTGTAGCATTGTGCAATGGTTGTTGATTCTAGGGTTGTTTGCTTAAAATCCCATGTTTGATTGCAGTATCAGGTGGCCCAGATGTACATGGTCATGAAGATGCAGCGCCAGAACACATCTGGCAGTGAGGGTGTGGAAGTCTTGGTGAATAGACCATTTGAGGATGATGTATATGGGAAGGGTTGGTACACGTCTAAAGTTTATCGTTTTCAGAGGTAGTTCTTTATTCATTACTAGTACTTAGTAGACTTAATGTGGTGAAATTTAGCAGGTTATGATTGATTTGGTGTGCAAAAGTTGCATCTTTGTTCTTCAAGAATCAAGATGCCTTACATTTTGAGTTTTGAAGTGTTGCTTCAACTTCCTACAACCAAATTAGTTAGCAGATTACCTTGGTTCATTTGTATTTTGTTTTTAGACTTTGAGTTTTGATACCTAAGATAGTAATGCTTGGTATCTTACTCTTGCACCGCTGTTTGCAGCAAAGCACCTGCTTGGCTTACAGCTCTTGCGCCCAAAGATGCTCTTGTCATGCTAGAAGAAGCATGGAATGCATACCCGAGGTGTAAAACAGGTATGCAATTTCCTTATGTTGAATTATGTGGTTTGTTGTTAAGTTTCTTGTGGAAGTTGAGTTAACATTTATCTTTCTGCTTTTGTTTCATTGATGGATCTCAAATGACTCAGTGATCAAGGTAATTTTATTTATTCCCAATTATGATTTCTAATTTTATGCATATCTAGGCTACTTTTTTGTCTTACCTATAATAGCATTCTCATTTATTTTTGCATTTTTACTGTCTTGCAGTGTCCCTATTTTTCCAATTTTTCTCTTACTATTGAAACTGTTCATAGAGCTGACAGAGGCCAGTCAGAAAATGTAAGTATCTTCAAAAGTTTATGTCATTTTATTCTAGCTTGAGTTTCTTTGGCATCAGTTAACTGTGAGGTTGCAAACCAGGTGCATTGTCTGAGCAAAGAACAACTAGCAGCTAGACAGGTCGAAACCATTGACATAGCTTCAGCTGCAACAGATTACTGGAGTTATGCCATTGGAAGTAACACCTTGGACTTGTCCAACTTCAAATCGATGAAAACTGCCCGTGGTCCACTTTTGAATGGATGGCAGGTCGGTAATTTAATTTTAGGTACTGTTAGTTGATCATGTGCTCCTTACGAGGAATCAAATTATTGTTTGTTTGACTCCCTCTTATGGGTTTTGCATGCTTTTGCAGCTCTCATTCAAGAGAGGCCAAATGTGTTCCCTCTTTTTGTGTGTATTTGTATTAGCAGAGTTGCCTAAGCACATGACATCACTCCTTTTGTTTTTTCCTGAAACTTTGCAATCTGATATCCATCCCGGCCTCTCTCTTCTACTCCAGCTCCCACCCACCATCTCAACCCAACTCTGCCTTGCTTCCCTTTGTGCAAATCCAGTTCTTCAATAGATTTCAGTTTGAGGAAACCCCAAATACATCTCCCCCCTACACCCCCTCTCCTAATTCTTTTACACTACTGGTTTCTGACTTCACTTTATTGTATGTGAAAGTATGAGGAAGTGGAAAGCTTCTGCCCTTTAGAAGCAATTCACCTCTGTGGCATCCAAATTCCTTGAGCTTCTAAATTGAATGAATCTGATATGTCAGAAAGAATTTGTTTGTTTCCTCTTAAATTCTCATGCAAATTAACTTTAGACTGTTACATATGGCATAAATGTTTGCAGGACAGGTGTGATCCCGTTATGACTGCATATAAATTGGTGACAGTAGATGCACCATACTGGGGCTTTGGTTATCGACTGGAGCAAGCTTTACTAGCGGTAATTCTATGCCTAGAATATTCTTGATATAGCTTTTAGTGTTAGAGACGATATGGTGAAGCCACTGCATAACCTTTTCTTTCGTTTGTTGCCTAACTGGCATAATTCATTCACCAAAATTTGTCATCTTTACTTTTATTATATGTTTTATGTAGGGTGAAAGGGCCCTCTTTTTAGAAAGCCATCGGAATTGTTTTGGTTGGATTGATGAATGGTTTGGAATGACAGTAGAACAACTACATGAACTTGAAAATGGAAGTGATTGCTCGGCAAATGAGGTAATACTTAGTGATAGTTGTCTGATGATACATATGAATATCATTACTAATGAACAGCATTGATTTCTTCACCATCCCTTGCTCGGCATACTTCTACGATTGCATATCAATGAATAATCACTTTTGAGTGACGAGTATCCTTGGTTTTCAAACAGAAAATTTCCAAGCCAGTGTTGCTGACAGATGCAGAAGATTATGACCAAATAATTTCCCACAATAGTGAAGACATTTGCAGTAAACAGACCATACCTAATTCAAAGCAACAGGGAGTTGCAGTTGATACGTAGCACAATCAAACCTTCATCCAGCAGACATTCTCAGGATCATACATATGATCACTTATATTGAGATTCTCATATTTCAAGAGAATTTTTATATTAGGATATAGAACGAAATTTCTTAAAGTCATACTTCTGTTTCACTGAAAGTTGTATTATACATATCCTGGTAAACATTCTTAATCAGAAAATTAATCCCTTGTGGTATATGTATCTTTCTTTTTCTCTTTTGAAGTTGATTCAGGCAGTGTCTACATGATATCAAATGAATAGAGTTATATACTAATTCACAAGAACACTAATAAAAAGATAAATCTATAATTACTGTGCCTAAGATGGAAAGATTTTGATTGTAATTAAGTTTCCTTCAATCACCCTTTTTTAGTCTTAATTCATGGTTAAGTGTTTGATAATTGTAAACAACTCACACGTCAGCTTCAACTCTGGGTTCTGCCATATTTGGACTTGTCTGTTTGATTTAAGGAGTTCGAAGGCTAAATAGCAACAAAATAAACTTGAAAGACTTGATTGCAAAAGGGCTTAAGTTCCAAGATTTTAATACGTTTTTGGAGAAACCATCATTCACGTCCCTAATCATCTCTCTTCTCTCCGATCACTAATTCTGGCGGCGTCACCGGGGAAAAGAAAGCGAATCCCGTTTATCTGGTTTCCGCGAACTCCTTAGTTTGTCACTCTTTGATCAAATACAAGTAACAGTAAGCTTTCTGTTTCTACAATTCTGATTTTATTTCTTAATTCTTCAATTTGGGCGCTAGATGAAGATCGATTCTCCCAAATTATCTGGAAAAGTTAATTATAAACCCTGAATTAATTTTTTCTGCCAGCAATCAATTCCATGCTGGATTAGGGTAGTTGGGAAATTGTAATACTTAAGTAGATAAGAACCCTAAATTATTGTTGTTGTTGAATCTATTTAAGGATTAAATGGGGCCAAGATGGAAAGGAAAGGGAGCAGAAGCAAAAGCTCTTGCTGATCCCATGTCGAAAATAGTTTCACAGCTTCAATCTTCTTTGATACAAACTGAGGCTCATGGGTTACTCTCAGGCTGCAATGTACTTGTTGCTGTGGATGTGGAATTGACTGATCTTCTTAATCGTGCGTGTTTTGGTAGACCTATTGTTACAGCTGAGAAGGATAAGCAGTGGTTTCAGTTGTCTATGGAGGAAGCCTTTTATTTATGCTATTCTTTGAAATGCCTCAGGATTGTTGGTGAAGAACATTGTACAAAGAATAATGAAGATCTGTGGCAGTACATGAAATCCAAAAAAGCTGTATTCCCTTATTCTTACAAGGCCTTTTTGCATCTCCGATTGAAAAATTGGGTTGTGAGATCTGGATTGCAGTATGGTGTGGACTTTGTTGCCTACCGTCACCATCCAGCTTTTGTTCATTCTGAGTATGCTGTGCTTTTCCTGTCAGAGGGAGATGATAATCTAAGTGGTCGGTTGAGGGTGTGGTCTGATTTGCACTGCACGGTTCGACTTTGTGGAAGTGTTGCAAAAACCTTGTTAATTCTTAACATCAATAGAAATGGTCATGATGCCTCCTCTCCATCATGTTTAGAGCAGTACACCATTGAAGAGCGAACAATTGCAAGATGGAATCCAGAACAGTGCCGTGAAGATCAGAAAATTCCTGAAAATGGAATCAAATGAGGTATAGTTCAGAATCTTCTTTCTTAATGAGAATAATTTTGTCTATCAGCTTTGCTTACTTAATTTACTTGTTCTAGTAGAACCTCAGCTTGCTTATATCACCTTTGAAAGGACATGGGCAAATATTGAACTTCATTTTGTGCCTGTTCCTCTCCATTTCTGACTATATTCTTTTAATGTTCTGTATGGTGCTGTCAGCTGTGTTGCATATATGTTGTGTAGCTTATTATGAAGCAAGTATTGTTTCTTCCACTTGATTTCTGAATATTTCTTTGGGCTGGTTTGTTTCTTATTTATGAATGTACCACACCTCAAGCTGCTGTGACACTCATATTGACATTCTTATTGATAATTTTCATGTATGTTGCATGCTTGATGGTCCGGGTCTATGATTCCTTTTCCAAGACATTATTCACCAATGTCTCACTTTCTAAAATGAACTAGTCGGATAGTATTGTGATTTGTAGCCTTCTTTTTATTGGTTTTTCCAAGTTTTTCTGATGGCAAGCAATTTATCTTTGATTTTCAACAAGTTCTAGAAATTCTTTCACCAAGTACTATAAGCACTGTAGACATAAAACAAATTGATACTGTTTACATCCAGATACCTAAAAAGTAAGTTCCCCTTTTTTCTTTCGAAATAAGAAAGCAGTA